AGCTTAGAACCAAGAGTAAGAGCTCTGAGTTATTACGTGTATTCTTCGATACTAAAATATGACTGAGGCAAAACTACATAAATAAGCTACAGACATTTGAAATTTGGTGTTAACAGAAGGATGCTTAGAATAACATGGACACCGAAGAAAACGAAGACGAAAGTATTGCGGGAAGTCGGTAAAAAATACGAAATAATAAATGTAATAAAAATAAGAAACTTACAATATCTGGGACACGTAATGGGAGTTAAGAGGCACTGAGCTAAGATTGATAGAGCTATACAGGGATAGATAAGAGGAGGAAGACAAAGAAAAATTTAAGAAACTGATTTAGATGCAGTTTAATAGCACTCTTCAGAGCAGCGGTCGATAGAATAAAGATAGTGATGATATCCAACCTCCGATCGTAAGACGGCTCTTAAAAACACTTAAACATATACCAAACTAATTATTAATTGTTAAATTACCTTTTTACTAATCTCGTAATTTTGGCTTTATACTCTGATTTCTGACACAACCTTTTATTTAAATTTGGTGTATCCCTACATGGATCATCTTTACTTAAGCATGGTATTAACATTATTGGTATTAGGCATATATTACATATATGTTATCGCTTCTCGTTAGGCTTCTAGGTTTGTTGCCCCTTAAAACCTATTTTCAGCGATTAAAATAACTGCAAACAATTTTAAAACATGTTTCTCAGTTGTTTTGAAATCATCAAGTATTTTAATTAACACAGAACATATAAGAATATTTGTTAAATCTAATAATAATCATATCTTGCAAGCATAATGTTGTTTTTCATGTCATTCATTTCAAGTTTAGTGTAATTTAGCAGGTTTACCTCATTTTCTATAATTTCCTTACTTCAGAATTGTATATATTTACTACTTGCCATTTAACTTACTGTAATATTATATTTGAAACATTTTAAATGTTGCGTCTTGTACATCATTAAAGAAACTGTTTCCTCTTCAATATCTGCCTTGATTTCTTTTTGTAGAACTCTTGCTATTTCTCCATGTAACACTTTCCAACTGTATACGCCCTCTTTTTACGAGTGGAAATGCTTATATTTCTAAATCTAAATATATATATATATATATATATATATATATATATATATATAATAATGTTTTACAATTTTTATTATAAATTACATCCAAAATAAGTTTATTCACCTCTTCCTGGACTATAAACCGGCTGATCTAGCGTGGACCCAAACCGATCTAGTGAAAACTATCAAGGCCATCTGTCATCGGCCGCCTTAATTTTTTCCAGACCGGGTCTTGTATCGATTTTTAAAAAGCGTTTAATACCGTGAAAATTCTTAAAATAGACGTTTCTGCCGTTTGTTATCGAATTTATTGGATGATGGATTCCATGGTTCAAGTAAGTTGTTTGTTTTGCGTTATGAATAAATTAGAGAGAAAAATCGCATACTACATGAAAATAGATAAATATAACCTAAAAATTTAAAAATGGTCTGTTTATATGATTATGTGTATTATTGTTTATGTAAAATGGAAATAGTTATTCCTTTACTTAGTTGTTGAATAATTGCATTAAAGATTTGTTATGATTATGTAGTGGCATCACTCGCAATTTTATAGTTTTTTACGTCATGAATAGTAGGTAGGATTTTAATTTTTAGAATAAATTAATCATATTTTGAATCCTATTTTTTTTCTATACATTAGTTTCTTGGCATGTTTTCTTCCTAGTCCTTTATAAATTAGGTACATTGCTTTTTTTTCATTAACACTGAATCTGCAGGTTATACCTATGGCAGTAAAATAAATCTACTGAATTTTTTTTTATTTGTTTCGGGACCCCAGTTTTAGCTAACCTAATCCTCAGATGGCCTTACAGGTATGCGATCCGTACAACTGAATGATTTTTTTCTTGTTTAGTGCATTTTTATTTATTTATTTAGTTTTTATTGGCATTAGGTCATATATCTTTTCTTTAGTGTTTTCCCCATCGATCCTTTATTTGGTCACCTTTATAAAACATCGCTAATGTGAGGATTCTATTTTCGCCTCGATTTAATCCATCCCCTGACCCTTGACTTTTACTATTCAGAATAAGTTTATAATTTCTTCGTTCTGTACTTTATCTCATTATCTTTGCTTTTCATGTATTAGCTCATTACATATTCTTTAAATTTCTTTCATTGTGTATTTTTATTCTCAAGTAATATGTTCCGTGATTTGTCAAAATACTTTTTTCTTTTTACTTTTGCAGGTTTGCTTACATTTCGCCTGAATCTTTAGAAATAGTAATAATTTTTATTTTTTTTATGTACCCTGTTGATGCGATGTCGAATTACCGTAGTGCTACAGATTCATTTAAACTAAATCTCAATTTAGAGTAGTGGCTATGCCACTCTGGGGAGACCTAAGGGCGAGCGCCCACCAAAGTGGCGTGGCAGTGGCAAGTAGCAAGTAGCACGCGTCTAGCATAATGTAACCAATGAAAACGAATGATTCAGTTTACATCAAAATGACAGTAACGTCATTCATTCTAATCATTCGTTAGGATTGGTTACATTATGCTAGACGCGTGCTACTTGCTACTTGCCACTGCCACGCCACTTTGGTGGGCGCTCGCCCTTAGGGCGAGCGCCCACCAAAGTGGCGTGGCAAGTAGCACGTAGCAAGTAGCACGCGTCTAGCATGTTTCTTAAAATGTAACCAATGAAAACGAATGATTCAGCGTAACCAAAATTATAGTGACGTCATTCATTCTAATCATTCGTTTTCATTGGTTACATGTTAAGAAACATGCTAGACGCGTGCTACTTGCTACGTGCTACTTGCCACGCTACTTTGGTGGGCGCTCGCCCTTAAGAGGTCGAAATACGTATAAACGGCTTGCAGCTGCCCTGTATCGAAAAAAAATCTGCTACCGTCATTATGTTTTATTTCTTACTCCGTTTGGAGTACCAGAAATTGAATTCAGTACGAATTTGGACCATGATGAACGGCATGTGGAATGCAATTTTAGATTCCCTTGCCTAGTAATATATCAAGTTATATAGTTTGCTTTGCAAGTTTTAGAAAGCACAGTGGTAAAAATTTGAATTTGATTTCGCCAGTTAGAAATCGTATGATTTCTCTTTTTGTTTTTTTTTAATCCCAATTATTTGAAATTCTATATAAATTTTAAAACTAAATCATGAGTAAACCTTAAATTTAATTCGACTTTTGAATCGAATTTCAATTTTTAAAAGAGATGTTAATCTCATTTTTATCGTTGATTTTTATAACACTAACATTTTTATATTACTTAATTGTAACGACATGGCATCTTCACCTGTGCGTCGCTAATATCTACATGTATATCATACCTGTTTGTAATCTAAAATTGTATTACTGTACCATATTTCACTCTTGTTTTTTATTATAAGATTGTCAAAATGCAACATTATAATAGTTATTGGTCAAACCAGTACCCACTCCGTTTTCTTCACTAGGGATGAGCCACAATAGGGCTTTTAGATCGAATCGAATTTATATTCGATCGATATTGTTCTATTTCAACATATTTCGTCCGCTTTAAGTGATCACGAAGTGGTAAATAACTATGGCCCCAACTATGGATAAAGCCATCACGGACTCATGACCAGTTTCTATCTTTTAAATTCCTTATTTTTACCTAAGAATTAGAATAATTTATTCTAATTCTCCTGGTATATCTTGCTAAAGTATTATTTGTTTATTAAAAGTAATTTTCCTGTCGTTGCAACGTATATCTCTATCAAAATCTCTAGATTTCACATACAAAGCGTCTATGTATCTGTTTATACGTATTTCGGCCTAATAGGCCTCATCAGAACAGCTATTCATAGGCGTTCTCAACTTAAAAATAAATTTTTTCTGTCTTTAAAATGGCTTCGATATGGACGCAATAGCGACATATGATAATAAATCCGTAAAATAGTTTTCGAAACCAATTCAGATTTCTGCTTTAATCTGAACCTTCTAAAAATTGCAAGGTAAACAGACGTTGATCTATCACTAATCGCCAGATCTATCACTGATCGACATGTCTGGAATAATATCCGACACCACCCAACCACCAAATATCTTATCTACAATTAATATTGGAGCAGGCGAGGTGTAGTTTTACACGTACAATACTATGGTGGAACTCACCGGAATAACGTGTAAACAGATATATGTAAATGACAAACGGTTGGCGAATTTACTGCTACTACTTTTCGCCATCTTTACATTTTAGTTCAGCCTCCGTCATCACATGCCAGATACCGGAAATTACATCCTTTAGCATAAGTATTCGAAGTATAAAAATATGGCATCCCTTCTCATTAATATCTTTGTTACGTTGTACATTACTTACTATGTTGTACATTACGTTTATTTGTGTATAGGTACAACTTTTCACGGGGCACCATGCTCGAGGCACATTTCGAGTTACATCTTATTCCAATACAGCAATAGAATTTTTAACGCGGACGAATGTCTTTTTATTCCGCTCCTAGGCAACTGCATCTAGTTTCAACAGTAAATAGAAAATACTCAATATGGAAGTATTTACTTAATAATTCATCAATACACATTATGTAAGGCTTATGTTTAAAGTATTTCATATTGTGCTTCGATCTGGTTCTCATTATGCGTGAGGTCAATTGCAGCTATGAAGCATTTTTTGTAGATTCAAACCTTGCAATTTTCTCGTATAAATATCTATGATTTGTACTTATTTATAATTGATTTGCGATTATTTTTAATTTAGAAAATATATTTCTCTCCGCCATAGATATTTGATTGACAGTTTCATTTTACTTGGGTGGTTTTCAATATCAAATCGGCCAAAGAGAGTAAAAAAGACAATACATACCGGGTACTTTTATTCCTTTATTTTTTAGAACTTTTAGGTTTAAAAACAGCCTAGATATTTTTATAAGATATTCTTTATAATACGTATGGGCTAATTTTGACACTTTTTCTTGTAGGTGAATATTGTTTACGATGGTAGATACACAACATTTTTGTCTACGTTGGAACAACTATCAGAGCAGTATAACATCGGCGTTCGAAAACCTCCGTGACGATGAGGATTTTGTAGATGTTACGTTGGCATGCGATGGCAAGAGTTTGAAGGCTCATCGGGTGGTTCTGTCAGCGTGTAGTCCATATTTTAGAGAATTACTAAAGGTAAGATTAATTTTATGTATTTACTATTTATTATATTATATATCACTATATTTCATAATTTTAAATGGAAGTTGATTATGATTACTCAAATGAAACCATTGGTTTCGCAGTCCATATTCCAACCTCACACATGGAAGTTATTTATCTTATTTTTGTACACAATGTAATCGTATTCGTATAAGTCTTTAAAAATACTCTTTCCAAAGTTTCGTAAAACTGTATGATACAATAATATATACTAGAAAGGATTAAGGGATGCATATTTCCTATAGGCTGTTAATGAGAACTAATTGTGTGGCTTGATTTTTGCCTTCATCTACATTATTTTCATCTTCACTGTCTTATTACAAGTAATCAAAGTAATTTCACATTCACTTAATTTTTTTAAATAGATATTTTGTATGGAAAAGGTTTCTTATTTCATAACTACAGATAGTTCACATATTACAAAAGTTAATACACGTGTTTTTAAATTCATGAATTTATTATAAATAGAATAGACATTTTAAGTTTATTCTTGTAATGTTAGTACTGTAGGTAACACGTTAGTCTTCTGATCGAAATTTTGGTTAAGCATACAAGTCAACTACCTATTATGTTTTCATCGTCGATTGAGAACAACGGACCAAGGATACTGAATTATATTTTGGTTCTTCGAGCCGGATTTTCATTTCTAATGTTACTTTCGTTATTTAAAGCTTACTGATATCTTACACATTTATTGTTTTTCTCTACGACCTCTAGAACGACAAATAATGAAAAAAATTAAAACGTAATAAAGAGTAGAAATTATCATTATTAAGGTAGAATATTTTTTCTGGAATACTTGCTATTGATGTTTTTTTAAGCCTTTTTCTATTTTCGGATTGCCGAATATAGGCCTCTTCTAATTCTCGCCATTCATCTCTGTTATTTGTAAGACGTTTCCACATTGGCTCTGCAGTTCTTTTAGTATCGTCGCTCTATCGCATTTGCGGTCTTCCACGTGGTCTTTTGGCTTCATATGGCCGCCAATTCCCGATTTCTTTATTCCATCGGCCATCCGTAAGACGTTCGTTATGTCCAGCCCATTTCCATTTCACTGCGTGTTCGACAGCATCTTTTACTTTTGTGCTATTACGAATGTCTTCATTGGTTTTATGGTCTTTAAGTGAGATACCCAGCATCTGTCGTTCCATAGCTCTCTGAATATTCTGATCTTCTCAGTTTATTTTAGTGAATGTCCAGGTTTGAGCTCTATATGTAAGCATGTATGTAAGCACAGGTAGAATACAGGAATTAAACACTTTGCTATTGCTATTGATGTGTTTTACATACATTTTTAATTTGTAATCAGTGTGCATGAATGAATATTACATAATTAGGGTCAACGAAATACATATACCATGTATTTCAAAGCTGTGTCAGTTGTCAAAATGACATCCCAGTTATCTTTAGACGAGTTTAATTTTAAGTAAATACAAAAATAAATACAATTCAAGGCATCAAAACTATAGATTTGTAAAAGCCGTCTTCTGATATCTATGCAGCTAAGAAATGGCTGACTTTCGCATTGAGAATATTCCATTCATATCAAATGTTCATTCGAATATGGTTTTCGCCCATTTTACAACATTAAAAAATAGTGAAAATGTTAAATTAGCCATGTGTATCTGTCGGTCCGTTGGTCCGTGAACACAATCTGTTATTGGAACAGATAGAAGGACAAATGAGGTATGGAATGAGAACCTATAACCCAAAGATAGTATAAAGGGTAAGAAATTGTACCTCAAGGTTCCAGACTTGAAACCGGAAGTACCCTTAAAGAGTCCGAAATAGTACTAGCGATTTATTATTCGACGCGGCTTAGCAAGACGAGAACAAATATACATATTTACATAGATACAAATACTCTCGATTTTTATAGCACTTTCGGTTAAAAAAATAAGGTCGGAAGTTTGTCAAAAATGACACAAAAGTAGTGAAATAGTGTATCAATCAACGCAAAGTTACACGAAGAGTTCAAATTTCTACTTCCGGTCACGACGGGTCAAAACGTAGGACCTAAAAAATCAATGTGGTCGTATTGAGTTCATCTTTAACTTTATATTAAATTTTTACTCCATTAAAGTATATTCTGAAACAATTATGGCTAGCACAATACTCAGTTATTATTATATGCCGTATGTTTGGAACTTCACAATTATAAGCTTCTTCGTATCTCCGTACCATGACCACTACTGAACATTGATTGTCATATTGGCCATCATAATTTTATTCACCGCAGCTCTGAAGAAGGATGATGAAGACTGATGAAACCACTCACGCCGGTTACGACTCAATGATGTTGTTCTTCGATAAGATGGAAGACTCTTTATCGTTCTGGGTGTCACATGACATAGACAAAATACTCCAGTTGTATTTTTACGGTTTTTACTAATTGGGTTGTTGTAGGTTGTAATGTCTCTTCATTTGTCACTCTGTCGATACACACAACCCCACATTTCGGAAGCTTGAAGTTTATTTAATAGCGATTTAGTGAGCGTCCAGATTTCAAATACATAAAATACTGTCGAGAAGATGTAAAATTTGAAGAGACTTATTTTCAGACTATTGTTAATATTCCGTCCACATAATACTGTTTTTATTAGGAAAAACACTGCTAGTTTAGTTAAAGTTTTATGTTATTTTTACTCTTTATTAAAAAACTCATTTTGTGAACATATTTGCTTGCTAGATTTCTTGCTATCTAGATGTATAAAATGATATTTGGTAGGTGAGTTTGAAAAGGTTGTGAGAGCTATGTATATATTCGAGTAACAACTAGCCCCCGGTTTAGCCAGATTGCCAAGAAGCTCTGTATAAAGAAAATAAAGTGTCCATTAAAATGGAAACAAGCATCATAGGAGACTTTACTACAATTAAAGAAATCCTGCAGGGTTGTTCCACATCTCCAACCCCTCAAAATATACTTAGTAAAAGCCTTGACTACATGGACAATAAAATACGAAGGCATGGGAGTACCGGTACGAAACAAATACCTATATACGTTAAGCTTTGCAGGCGATCAAGTAGTGATTGCACAAGACCAAGAAGACCTCAGTTACATGATGAAGAAACTACAAGAAGAATATACTAAGGCTGACCTAGATATTATCCTCGCGAAAACAGAGTACCCATCTACAAGTGAAGAAGACATAGAAGATCTACAGATTGACGACAACTTAACCATCAAAGGAAATGATAAATTCAAATACTTAGGGTTTATAATCACTAAATAGGCAACAACAGCGGAAGAAATTAAGCAAAGATTAGGACAAATAAGAACAGCGATCCCACAAGTTAAATCAGTATGGTGGGATAGACATCTAAATAGGAAGACAAAAACACAGATTTATAAAACAGTGCGAAGTATGACGTATGAGGCTGAAAATTGGATTATAAACAAGAAAAACAGCAGTAAGATAGTAGCAACAAAGATGGAATGCCTGCGAAGATGCTGCAGAGTAACAAGAATGGATAGGAGAAGTAATGACAAAATAAAGCAAAGAACATCAAGAGAAACAGATAACTATAAAGACTAAAGTGATATGGACATGTAAGAAGAACCAGCGACAGTAGATGGATAAAGAGAATAACCGAATGGAGCCCCAAAGAAAGGAGAAAAAGAGGACGACCCCGAAGATCCTGGAGGAACGAAGTAGACGACGCCATGAGTAAGAGATGCCTAAACGATGGTGAATGGGACAACAGAGAGAAATGTAAAAGGTTGAGCGAAGGACAGCAGTGAATACTGTAGAATCCTCGAATATATATAAAAAATATAATTGGAACAAGACTACGATAAATGATAACAATAAAAAGTAGTCACGAAAGGTTGACATATATATCCTAGATCACACAATGTTGATATATTTTTTATATCTTCAGAAAATACCCTTAAAACATCTAAAACGAAGAATTGCTGAGAATATTGAGAATTATTAAGTCTTACTGTGTATACATATCCTTTGAACTCTTCCATTATTCCATCAATGAAGAAGTTTATAATTATTGCATACCGAAAGGATTACCTATCCTTTTTTCAAATATTCTGGTGGAAGATAAAAATAACTTAAAATCCGAGGATTATACAATCCAAACTAATACAATGAAATCAATTCGGCATTAAATTTTAAAACAACATTAAATTCTCATTAAAGTCGGTTATTAATTTTAGAATTATTTATTCAACTAATTTAATTGCCCGTTGTTTGTTATCGTTTTGATTTACAATAAAAAATTATGTGTTTCTATTTCCTATAAGAATTTGTAGAAATAAATCTAAATGTACGTAAAACTAATTCAAGATTAATTGGTTTAATTGTTAGTTTTGATTAAAATATTAAATAGTACAAAACAATAGGCAGCAAAATGTATTGTTTTTCATCTTGATTAAAATAAAAATGAAATAATTACAACATCTTTTCTATGTAGTAAATTTAATTTCACAATACATTTTATGTCCCGGATACCAAATCAGTTTTCAATTCAACACTCTGTTCAATATTTGCCAACACTATTTTAAATTATATGATAATCTCAACACAGAAAACAAAAACAATAGTAATCAGCTAAGGATCAATCAGATGTAAAATATAATTCAATGTCACTACCATTGAACAAGTAATGAAAATAAAATAACATGGAATTACCCTACCCAGCTATAAAGACCTGGATAAAGTAGTGAAAGATCAAGTACAAAAAGCAAATAGACTGCCAGGATGCCTTAATAACACTATATTGTGAAACCGACATATGCATCAGAAACACAGCCACAACACAAATACTACTGGGAACGGTGAGATGAAAGTACTGAGAACAATTACAGGAAATACGCTGGGAAATCGAAAGAGGAGTGAAGACATTTAGAAGAAAATATAGCGTACAGTGTATAAACGAATGAACACTAAACAGAAAAAAGAATGGAATAACCACATACCAAAATGGGGATAGTCGTGTGGTCAAAATAGCAAAAGATA